GTGCGTGCGTGCGTGCGTGTGTGTGAGAGAGAGAGAGTGTGTGTGTGTTTGTGTGTGTGTGTGCGCGTGTGTTAGGGTTGTGACGGTGAGGAAATTTTCCCACCGGTTAATCGACGTATGACAACACCGGTAATACCGGTATCACTGCGGGTGCGGGGCGTTCCCTCTTTTCCTCGCTTTCCTTCTCTTTTAAATAGCTTGTAAAAGTGGTGTGCTTCACTTTCAATAGCGGCAATTCGAAGTAAAGCAATTGTTCGTTTGAATTTTCCCTCTTTTCCTCGCTTTCCTTCGCTTTTAAATAGCTTAAAAGCGGCGTGCGCATTTTACTTTCACTTTCGAATTAGCGGCAGGTTGGCGTCAATTGCTTGAATGCAACAACAAAATACAACGTCAAACTCACTTTAGCCTATATATAAAACATAGAACTTTTATTAACAAAACAAATAAAAGTACACCATGCCATATAGGGCAGGCTATGCCTAATATAAAATAACAAATAACTTGCATAAAGTTTAATAGGTATACAAAATTGGAAATAAGTAAACATGTACAATATATAACCAAATAAATAAGAAACGTAGAATGTTTATTAGCAAAACGAATGTCAAAAAAAAAAAATAAATGACACAAAGTTTAAATAAAGTAAAAATCAGCAAACAATGTGGAACCAATTAAATAAGAAACGAATGTTTTAAAAAAAACTTCCAAAATCACCTTATATAAACGGCAAAAGTAAACATGGCTTTTCAAAATCCAAAATATTGCCAAACAGGCGCTTTTGCATCTCGTTTCGAAACGAAATCATCCGCAATCGTCTTGTCTGTCTCACCCCACTCTTCTTGTCAGTCAGCTCGACTCACTCTCCTCACTGGATAAATTAAATCTGATCTGTGTGATGTGACTGTCGTTCGGCACGCTGCATTGAGCAGCCGCGTTCAGTTTTTATTTGTAGTGTCTGTTCTTTTACTGAACTAAAGGATTTTTATTACTATAAAATAGGGATGCACCGATACCACTTTTCCAGTATTCGCCCGATACCGATACTTTTCTTTTTGGTACTTGCCGATACCGAGTACCGATACCAATATTTTTATTGCATTTGTACATTTTTTAAA